ATTCCTTCCCATGAGTGGCTGGGGTTTGCACTGCCAGCCTTCTGGTTAGCAGTCAAATACCTTAGGCACTATGGCACTTCTTGTTTTCTTTATATTGAGATGTAATCCATACTGTAGAATGTAGTCTTCAATTTTCATCAGTAAGTGCTTCAAGTCACCCTCACTTTCAGCAAAGCAAAGTTGTGTCATCAGTGAATCACAGGTTGTTAATGATTCTTCCTCCAATCCTGATTCCATGTTCTTCTTCATATAGTCCAGCTTCTCAGATTATTTGCTCGGCATACAGATTGAATAAGTATGGTGAAAGGATATAACCCTGACACACTTCCTTCTTGATTTTAAACCATGCAGTGTCCCCTTGTTCTGTTCGAATGACAGCCTCCTGGTCTATGTACAGGTTCATGAGTACAAATAAGTGTTCCAGAATTCCCATTCTTCTCAATGTTACCCATAATTTGTTATGATCCACACAAGCCAATGCTTTTGCATAGTCAATGCAACACAAGTAAACAAACATCTTTTGGTATTCTTTGCTTTCAGCCGAGATCCATCTGACATCAGCAATGATATCCCTTGTTCCACATCCTCTTCTGAATCCAGCTTGCATTTCTCAAAGTTCTCTGTCAATATATTGCTGCAACTGTTTTTGAGTTATCTTCAGTAAGATTTTCCTTGTGTGCGATATTAATGATATTGTTTGATAATTTCCACAATCTGTGGGATCACCTTACTTTGGAATGGATACAAATATGGATCTCTTCCAGTCAGTTGGCCAGGAAGCTGTCTTCCAAATCTTTTGGCATAGTCAAGTGAGTGCCTCCAGTGTGGCATGTTTTTTGAAACACCTCAATGAGTATTCTGTCAATTCCTGAGCCTTGTTTTTTGCCACTTCCTTCAATGCAGCTTCAACTTCTTCCTTCAGTACCACTGGTTCTTGATCATATGCCACCTCCTGAAATGGATGAACACTGAACAATTCTTTTTTGTACAGTGAGTCTGTGTATCCTTCCATCTTCTTTTGATGTTCCTGTATCATTCAATATTTTGCCCATAGAATCTTTCAGTATTGCAACTCGAGGCTTGAATTTTTTCCTCAGTTCTTTCAGCTTGAGAAATGTTGAGCATGTTCTTCCCTTTTGGTTTTCTAACTCTAGGTCTTTTCATAGTTCATTATAATAATTGACTTTATCTTTTTGAGCTGCTCTTTGAAATCTTCTGTTCAGCTCTTTTATCCTGTCATTTCTTCCATTTGCTTTGGCTACCATCCATTCAAGGGGAAGTTTCAGAGTCTCTTCTGACATCCATTTTGGTCTTTTCTTCTGTTCCTGTCTTTTTAATGACCTTTTGCTTTCTTCATGGATTATGTTCTTGATGTTATCCCATAATTTCTCTGGTTTTCAGTCATTGGTGTTAAATGCATCAAATCTATTCTTTAGATGGTTTCTCAATTTAGGTGGGATATAGTCAAAGTCATATTTTGGCTCTTGTGGATTTGTTTTAATTGTCTTCAGCTTCAACCTGAACTTGCATATAAGCAGCTGATGGTCTGTTCCATAATCAGCTCCTGGCCTTGTTTTGGCTGAAGATACTGAGTTTTTCTATCACTTCTTGCCACAGATGTAGTCGATCTGATTCCTATGTACTCCATCTGCCAAAGTCCACATGTATAGCCATTTGTGTTATTGAAAAAAGGTACAACATAGTACATAAAAATCTCATTCCACAACCTACTTTGGTGAGTAGCAACTTGGGTCTTAAAAGCTTTCGAGTGGCCATCTAAGATGCAACTATTGGTCTCCTCTCATCTGAAGCAAAGAAGACAGAAGAAAATCAAAGCCATTTGGAAACAATTAGTCGAAGGATATGATGGACCTCAAGACCAGAAAACTAAATGGTGCCTGGCTACCAATGCTAACCAGTCAGGAAGGGATCAAAATTGGAGATTCTGGATAGAGTGGGAGGAAAATTGTGGAATAAAATTCAAAAACACAAAAATGACCAGTATTACTGGTCAGATAGAGTATGGTGGAACCCCTAAAACTATGGCCCTGGTGTACCCTTCAGGCCTAGGATTGGATTCACTCCCAAGGATTGGCTATCACCCCAACAGCAGAAAGACTTACATGCAGAACACCCACCCTACAGTGATGTACCCACCTACTCTAAGGAGATACATCCCTTAAAGCAATAGGCTATGAGGCACCAGAAGGGCACCATTCACATGAAGGGAAAGCTGGACAGACAGGAGTACATAGTTAAGAAGGGCACAGGAGAGTTTGGTCACAGGGACAGGAAGAGAGGAGAGTGGGTTATGATCAGGGATGTAAACAGGGTGTGAAATCAAATGTACACAAACTGTTGAATATAAAACAAATTTTACCCTATAAATTTGCACTCAAAGCACAAATAAAGAAAAGAAAAGATAAAAAGAAAGAAAACCACTGGAACTTATTGACAGATTTAGCAGAGTGGCAGGATATAAGATCAACATATAAAAATCAGTTGGATTCCTCTACACCAGCAAGAGGTCTCTGAAAAGGAAATCAATACCATTTATAATAGCTACCAAAAAGGATAAGATAATTGGGGATAAATCTTACTAGGACACAATAGACCTATACAAAGAAAACTACAAAACACTACTTCAAGAAACTATGAGATCTACTTAAATGGAAGAACATACCATGCTCATGGATCAGAAGATTGAACATTGTGAAAACATCAATACTACCCAAAGCAATCTACACATTCAGTGCAATCCCGACCCAGCTTCCATCTACATTCTTTAAAGACATGGAAAAACCAGTCACTTTCCAAGGCAGTATCTCTCTGGAAGTAGATTGCCTAGTCTTCCTTCCAAGGAGTGGCTAGTGGGTTTGAATCACCAGCCTTCTGGTTAGCAGTCAAATGCCTTAGGCACTACACCACCAGAACTCCTAATTTTATATGGAAAGGCAAGAGACCTCAGGTAAGCCAAACACTACTGAAGAAGAAAAAAGTAGGAGATCTCATACTTCCAGATCTCAAAACCTATTATATAGCCACAGAAGTCAAAAACAGCCTGGTATTGTACGACAGACACATAGACAGTTGGAACAGAATTGAGAACCCAGAAATAGATCTATCCACCTATGGTCAGCTGATCTTTGACAAAGGGCCAAAATCCATTATTTGGGGGAAGAGATAGTCTTTTGACAAATGGTATGGCAAAAATGGATACTCATTTGCAGAAAAATGAAACAAGATCCATACCTAACACCATATACAAAAACTAACTCCAGATGGGTCAAAAGCTTAAATGTGAAACCTAAAAGTATAAAGCTCATCTACGAAAAAAATAGAGGCAAAGTTAGGAGCCCTAATTTATGGCATGAAGGGACTATCAAGCATAACCCAAAATGTACAAACAGAAGGAGAAAAACTAGATGATTGGGACCATCTAAACATTAAAATCTTATGTGACTCAAAAGACTTTTCCAGAAAGTAAGAAGAAAACCTACAGAATGGGAAATAATATTCAGCAATGACACATCTGACAAAGGACTTATCTCTAAAATTACAGAAAACCCCAACACCTCAACATTAAAAAGACAAACAATCCAATTAAAAAATGGGCAAAAGACATGAACAGATATGTCACCAAAGAAACTATTCAGGCAGCCAACAATCACATGAAGAAATGTTCACAATCATTAGCCATTAGAAAGATGCAAATTAAAACCACAATGAGATACCATCTCACTCCAACATTAATAGCAAAGTTCAACAAGATAGAAAATAACAAGTGCTTGTGAGGATGTGGTGAGATTGGGACTCTCATACACTCCTCATGGGAGTGTAAAATTATACAACTACTATAGAAATCAATATGGTGATTTCTTAAAAAGTTGGGAATAGAAATACCATTTGATCCAGCAATCTCATTACTAGGTATGTATCCTAAAGTGAGAGGCAAGACATGGATAGATATATTCACACCCATGTTCACAGCAGCACTATTCACAATAACAAAGAGATGGAAGTAAGCTAATTGTCCATCAACAGAGATGAGGATAACCAAACTGTGGTACATACACATAATGGAATACTATGCAACCCTAAATAATAATGTAGAATCTGCAAAACACTGCATAATGTGGATGAACTTAGAGGACATTGTACTGAGTGAAATAAGTCAATCACAGGACAAGTATTTTTCCACTATTGTAAAAAGTCAAGGAAAGATTTATATATAGAAGGAAACGTGCTTTGTTGGTTACCAGGGAGGGGAGGAGAAGAGAGGGAAAATTCCCAGACAGGTTTGGAGAAAAAAAAAATCTGTATCTATAGCTATCTATCTATCTATCTATACAAATATACATATATATATATATACAGAGAGAGAGAGAGAGAGGAACCAATGATTATTAGTGGCTACTGGGATAGGAGGGAGGAGAAAAGGACAAACTTTCATTTGCAAGGCATTGAGTTTATGCTAATAGTACTAGCATATTCTGGAGAAAGATAGCAATAATGGTGGCACAACATGAAAAATGTCATAAATGTCTCCGATCTGTAAATGTGGAAGTTGTTGTGTTGGTGAATGGCTTGTAGCATATGTTTTCATCACAATAAAAGTAAAAAAGAAAGAAAGAAAAAAGTAATAGGCAACAGCTAAAGTCTTTGCAGCGAAATCCGAGTAGTTTTGGTGGCTAACCAAAGAAAGCCAATGGAAAATTCAGGAAGTCTGCTATTTGGGCCTACCAAAACAAACAAAAAAAAAAACTCACTGCCATGGAGTCAGATCTGACTCATAGCAACCCCTCCTTGGGTTTCCGAGGTGGTATCACTACAGAAGTAAATTGCCCAATCTGCCTTCTGAGGAGTGGCTGGTGGGTTTGAACTGCCAGCCTTCTGGTTGACAGTAAAATGCCATAGGCACTATGCTACCAGAGCTCCATTTGGGTCTAGTGTAGCATGTTTCCTTCCACATGTTGAAACATGCTGTCCCTGAGTCTTACCTTCTTTAGTGATGGCATCTGCAGTCTCTTTGGCTTTGTCTTTCAGATCTTTCACCACACTGTCTACCTGGTACTCATGTTTCAGGAAGAAAGGACGGATGATACGCTTGTAGAGCAGTTCAGCTCCATTAGAAGGGCTTGGTGCCATGCACCACAGTAAGAAGCCACACTGCAAATAAGAATAAGCATTAGTAACAGGAGAAAAGCAGACACCCTGAGAATACATATTGTCCACTACCACTCTTGGGATGATCACCACCTCTCATATTTTCTCTAATGGCATGTTCAGTGTTTTCTGCAGGTGACAGGTGGTGGGGCCCTGGGTAGTGCAAATAGTTAATGTGCTCAGCTGTTAACTGAAAACTGGGGATTCACAGACATCCAGAGGTGCCTTGGAAGAAAGTCCTGGTAATCTATTTCTGAAAAGTCAGCCATTGAAAACCCTATGGAGCACAGTTCTATTCTGACACATATGTTGTTGTTGTAAGGTGCCTTCAAGTCATCTCCAACTCATAGTGACCCTATGCACAGCAGAATGAAGCACTGCCTGGTCCCACACCAGGTCCATGATCCTTGCTATACTGCTATACTTGAACCCATTACCACAACGACTGTCTCAATCCATCTCGTTGAGGGCCCTCCCTTCTTTTGTCAACCCTCCACCTTGCCAAGCATGACATTCTTCTCCAGGAAATGGTCCCTTCTGACAACATGACCAAAGAGCTGAGATGAAGTCTGGCCATTCTTGCTTCCAAGGAGCATACCAACTGCACTTATACCAAGACAAATTTGTTAGTTCTTTTAGCAGTCCATGGTACTTTCAGATTTCTTCGCCAGCACCAGAACTCAAAAGATCGACTCTTCTTCAGTCTTCCTTGTTCATTGTCCAGCTCTCACATGCATATGAGGCGAGTGAAAATACCATTGCTTGTGTCAGGCACACCTTAGTCCTCAAGGAGACATCTTTGCTCTTCAACACTTGAAAGAGGTCCTTTGCAGCTGATTTGCCCAGTGCTGAGCTCTGGTGGCATAGTGCCTATGGCATATGACTGCTAACCAGAAAGCTGGTGGTTCAAACTCACCAGCTAGTCCTCTGAGGGAAGGTTGGGCAATCTACTTCTGTAGTGATACTGCCTTGGAAACCCAAGGAGGGGTTGTTATGAGTCGGATCTGACTTGACGGCAGTGAGTATACGTCGTCTGATGTCCTGACTGCAGCTTCTATTGGTGTCAATTGTAGAACTGAGCAATATGAAGTCTTTGACAACTTCAATCTTTTCTCCATTTATTGTGATGCTGCTTATAGGTCCAGTTGTAACGAATTTTCTTTATATTGGATGTCATCCATACTGCAGACTGTAGTCTTCAATCTTCATCAGTAAGTGCTTCAAGTCACCCCCACTTTCAGCAAGCAAAGTTGTGTCAGTGAATCACAGAATGTTAATGATTCTTCTTCCAAACCTGATGCCACGAACTTCTTCATATAGTCCAGCTTCTCGGATTATTTGCTCAGCATACAGACTGAAGATGTATGGTAAAAGGATACAACCCTGACAATGCTCCCTTCTTGATTTATACCATGCAGTGTCCCCTTGTTCTGTTTGAATGACAGCCTCCTGGTCTATGTACAACTTCTTCATGAGTACAATTAAGCATTCTGGAATTCCCATTCTTCTCAATGTTACCCATAATTTGTTATGATCCACACAATCCAATGCTTTTGCATAGTCAATAAAACACAAGTAAACATCTTTCTGGTATTTGCTTTCAGCCAAGATCCATCTGACATCAGCAATGATATCCCTCATTCCACATCCTCTTCTGAATCCAGCCTTGCATTTCTCAAAGTTCTGTCAATATATTTCTGCAATCATTTTGAATTATCTTCAGTAAGATTTCACTTGTGTGCAATATTAATGGTATTGTTTGATAATTTCCACAATCTGTGGGATCACTTTTCTTTGAAATGGATACAAATATGGATCTCTTCCAGTCAGTTGGCCAGGAAGCTGTCTTCCAAATCTCTTGGCATAGTCGAGTGAGTGTGGCATCTGTTTTTTGAAACACCTCAATGGGTATTCTGTCAATTCCTGAGCCTTGTTTTTTGCCACTTCCTTCAATGGAGCTTCAACTTCTTCCTTCAGTACCACTAGTTCTTGATCATGTGCCACCTCCTGAAATGGATGAACACTGAACAATTCTTTTGGTACAGTGAGTCTGTGTATTCCTTCCATCTTCTTTTGATGTTCCTGTATCATTCAATATTTTTCCCACAGAATCTTTCAATATTGCAACTCGAAGCTTGAATTTTTTCCTCAGTTCTTTCAGCTTGAGAAATGCTGAGCATGTTCTTCCCATTTGGTTTTCTAACTCCAGGCCTTTGCACAGTTCATTATAATAATTGACTTTATCTTTTTGAGCTGCTCTTTGAAATCTTCTGTTCAGCTCTTTTATCCTGTCATTTCTTCCATTTGCTTTGACTGCTGTCCATTCAAGGGGAAGTTTCAGAGTCTCTTCTGACATACATTTTGGTCTTTTCTTCTGTTCCTGTCTTTTTAAAGACCTTTTGCTTTCTTCATGGATGATGTTCTTGATGTTATCTCATAATCCTTCTGATTATTTACTCAACATACAGATTGAATAAATATAGTGAAAAGATACAATCCTGACATACACCCTTCTGACTTTACACCATGCAGTATCCCCTTGTTCTGTTCTGTCTCATGCCTCATGGTTCCACTGCCACTCATAGCTGGGCATCTCTCTCAGCAATGCATCTCTCTCTCAGTAGTGTGGGTGTCTCTCTCAGCAGCATGTCTCTCTCTCCTAGTAGTGCATCTCTCTCAGCAGCACATCTTTCTCTCAGTAGTGTGTCCCTCTCAGCTGGCAGTGAGAGTTTCCCCCTGCCTCCTGGAGGGCTCATTTTGAGCCTGGCAGAGTGGTAAAACCAACAATCACAACATCCAAGTTCTACACACCTGAGAAAGCGTGAAACTTTATAGAAGTTAGAATGCTAACTTCATGCTGCTCCAATAGAAATACCCCAGGTGGATGACTTTAACAATCAGGAGTTTAAATTGCATGGTCCAACCCAGTAATCTGGTGGAAGTTACAAAGACTATGGCTAGAAAAGCGATAACCATGTAATTTACTACACCACACATCAGCAATAATATTCCTCATTCAAGTCCTCTTCTGAATCTGGCTTGAATTTCTGGCCATTGCCTGTGAATGTATTGCTGTAACCATTCTTGTATTATCTTCAGCAAAATTTTACTTGCATGTGGTGTTAGATTGGGTTCTCTAGAGAAACACAAAAAACCAGCAAGGTATGTATATATATATATATGTTTAGAGAGAGAGAGAGAGAGAGATTTATCTTAGGTAAATGGCTCACAAGCGTATAGAAGCCGACAAGTCCAAGCTGAAAAGTCCGTCTCTGGAGGAGATGGGGCTTGCGGCCAGCTTGGCTTCCACAAACACAGCCGACAAGTCCAAGCCGAAAAGTCCATCTCTGGAGGAGATGGGGCTTGCGGCC